AATAATTTAAAGATGCTGCTTTAAATGCGCATAGTTTTCAAATATCATTAACTTAATTAATCGCTCTCCAATATCTTGTAACACAATACGATTTGCTGAGCAAATACAATTCGAGCACACATGCACGTTTTTCAAAATTAGATAGATTATTCAATTAATTTTCTCATTTGAAACATCAGTTCTGAGAATTTTAAACGAATATCTTTGTTTAACTAAGTAATCTAGAGTGATTTCGCATAATCACCAATGGGAATTAAGCGTGTTTAAATGTTAATTCACCAAATTGATGACACAGCTCTATGACGTGAGAAACTAAATTAAACAGTTTGAAATTTTAATTTGCCGTGAAAATTAATGAAGAAGTTTGCTTTAAAATTTTGTTTTACGACGTAATTTTATTACTTATGTCTTTAATATTTATGAATGAAATATTTTAACAATTAATTTTGATTTCGAAGGAAACTGTTTGAAGAAGGGTTATTTTAATTTTCAGCAATATTGCTTTGTCAAGGGAATTGGTACTGAATAATTGTTTTTAATAAAATGTGAAACTTGTGTTTAATTTATAAAACTTGTTTGCTCTTTTTCCCCAGTACTGCGAGTTTAATATAAATTTTAACAGTTTCCCACACAGAAGTAACTGTGGAGAATATCTATCTGAATTTCATGTTGAAAACTTGTGTGAATGATAACTTTAATTCAAGTTAATACCGAATTGAGTATTCTTTACACGCTTTGAAAAATATTGTGAAATCTTAACATCAACATTTGATAAAACTTACACCTATATCATATTTTCTTTACTCCCTGCATGAGCAACAATTTGTTGGTGAAGAAGACTGTGTTTTTTGGAGTTCCGTAAATTTTAGTGAAAAACTAATGTGTGTTTAAACAATTTAACTAAGTTAAATTGCGTTGTGAAATTGGTATTGCATGTTTTAAACAAATACTTCTAACATAACAAATACTTTTAACATAACAAATACTTTTGGACTTTTATTAGAAGTTTAAAGGTGAATAATTGCACAATATTTAGACAGAGATAAGATGGCGGTTTATTTAGATACTGTGTGCTGGTGAAATGTTAGTTTTTCTTGCCGGATTGAATTAACAAACTGAACATAGCCTTCTCAATGCCAAGTAAGTTTCAATCCTATTTACTGACTGATCAAGAATATTGATTGTGGTTGATTAGTTGCTAAGTAATTTTAATCTTCTTGTCGAAGTGGTATTGTATGATAAACTATACGGTGATATGATAAACCACTCATGTAATCTTTCATAAAAGGCATGTATATTTTTAGTTGCATAATAAAGATATTTAGGTTCTCATTAGATAAATCTATCAAATGTATTAAAAATTACTTTATAGTATTTAATATTTGCTCACTTTGATTTTGTTAAGCTTAGTTTGGACTCATATTAATACTCTCTCTGTGCTGTGTGCTTGCTTGATTAACATACTAATTTAATTTTAAGAAGTATTATACGTATGCTTCCTAAGTTAATGATTTGTACTTGATATTGTATCGCAAAAGCTATTTTTCTGACTATTCGTTGTATCATATCTTACAGTAATTATAAATTTAAGAGTTAAAAGATGCAGCTAAAATTAAATTTTTTTATAAATCTGAGCCTTATTTTTAAGCAAAAATTGAAGCATGTGATTTTTATCACTAATAATTGGCTCAGAGGATAGAGCGTACACCTTCCAATGAGATGAACCGGGTTTTTATCCCAACGATGGCTGGTCGATACGAATTCCGCAACCGGCTCGCACCGACCACACTGCTGACGTAAAATATCCTCAGTGGTAGACGGAACATGGGTTAGAGTCCCCATTCCGTCAAACTAACCGTTGAAGGTTTTCGTAGTTTCCCTCTCAATGTCACGCAAATGCGGGTAAGTTGCATCAAAAAGTCTTCCACGAAGGCGAATTTCTCTCAATACTTGATACAGGAGTACCCTTGTCTTCTGGATAGGGTAAAAAATTACAAGGGTACGGAGATGAACATTAGTAGTAGTAAACCCATAAAATTGGGTCATTTGTTAAACCCCGTTTGTAAAATAAAATAAAAATTGATTGAAAACTATCATTGAAATAAAAATTAGCTGTATAGATAAGGAGATTAAAAAACATTTAATTTGACATCTGCTTATTTTCTGAGATTGAATAAAAATTAATTAACTGTTTTATTTATTAAAAAAGGAATTATGAATAATTAGATGGATATAAATTTATGAAATATATGTAATTAAAAAGTTGGGAATTATGTCATGCCTATAAGGTCATGTTAAAATAAAAAAAAAGTATATATTTTAAAAGGGGTCTGGGATACAAAAATCTTAAAAATCTCTATCATTACTTAAAAGAATGATGCATTTACTAACTTTTAAATGGATGGACAATTACGCTTTTATCTCAATTAGATCACGAATATGAAGTGGTTTCATTACTTCGAGTGGTATTGAAATTTTTGAGACTTTTTCTGTATAATAAAATTTGGTGCTTTCTTAAATTTAAAGCAAGAACTGAAGAGATAACTTCTTGACATTTGAAATACAAATATTTAGGCATTTAATTTAATAGTTTTTTTATGAAATTTGTAAAATACATATTTTTTTTAAAAAAATGATGAAAAGGAATTCTGATTTTTGAAATTTCAAAATTTTTTTTTAAACATTGATAGCAAACAAAAGACTGAAAGTAGTAAACGCGTAGACATTTTTAAATATTTAATATTTAAAATAATTCTAAATTCATCAATGTTTATAAATTATTACAAATGCTTCATTGAAGATTTTTTAATAATTAGTTTGTAAACTTTCTGCATAATAAAAATATTACATGGGTTTCAAAAAAGTGTCATTAACCCTTATAATTTAAAGAAGAAAACAGACACAGAATTTACATTCTTAAGTATGAAAAAAATCAAAAGATAAAAAATTGAGAAAAGATACTTCATGGTATGATTAAAAAGTTGAAACAAACTTGCAATTAATACATTTCTCTGCAATTATACCTATACAAATTATTCCTATTGTGGACAAAACTTGTTATAAAGTTATCCATTCTTCAAAGACTGGCTTTTGAAAGTTTCAAATTATAACTCTCTTTAAGGAAGAGTAATTATGGATGAATTGAATGATTATTTCGGAAAATATTAAACATTAATTAATGCGTGCATTGTTTGGCAAGATAAATGTACAATTCCTTTTATGTGCTTCATATGAAAGGAGCGCGTTAAAAGCTTTTGCAATATTCAAAATAATGCACACTACGACCATTATGCAGTATTATACAGTTATTAATATAGAAATGCTCATTTTGAAAAGAGCTTTAGGCTATAACTTTTATCATTGATACGATGTTAAATTTTGCTCGCCATTGACAATAATTAATATGCTAGGTAAATAATGATAAAAAATAATTCAAAATTAAATTAGTTTAAAATATTGCTGACAACTTACAAATATTATATGATTTTTACAAAACTAATACGTTTAAAAAACATAAATATAACGACTTAAGTAAATGTAATAAGAACGAATAAAAACTTAATTCTAATCTCATATAAAATATTTGATAAGAAAACTAATGTAATTAAAAATTAATGTATCATGAATATATGTTGATTTTAAATTATTTGTACGCCAAAATTAAGAAACAAATTAGTTAATTTTTGTTTGAAAATAAGAATATATGAACATAGTATTTAATTAGCACATTAATAACAATTAAATCCATAATAAACAAAAAGACTTATTAAAATGTTTTTCGAGAGAATTACACATTTTTGAATATTACAACAGATCATGAAAAAGTGAACTCAAGCCAAATAATGCATATTCTAAGAAAAGTTATAAGAAAATATACCAGGGAATAGTTAATCATTCGGATTATATTCTTACTTTTCGGAAACTGAAAGTTTTGTAATTTTTAGTTTTACTTCGGAAAATAGATCCTTTAATAAGCATGGTTCCATTTTAGAGATGCGCTTTTTTCAACTTAATAATATATTGCTTGGTTAAACTACTCACATTAACATACAAGTATTAAATACTTTGTTTATTTGATTTTTTTAAGTAACATATTTTACATACATTGTTAGAATTTTCATTCTAAAATAAGTCCAAAAAAAAAAAAAAAAAAAAAAGACAANAAAAAAAAAAAAAAGAGGAAAAAACCGGCAGCCGTCTGTCCATCCAATTAATCTTAAAGTTTAAGGTAAAGAACATCTTTTTTATCTTTTCGGTTTTGAAACCACTTACAACTAGTATGGTTAATAAACCATGAATACAATATTATATGTTTTTTTTAACCATTTACAACAAGCATGGTTTCAATATCAAGCAAGGAAAAAAAAAGAAATTTAGCTGGACATTGGAGCTAGGCCTTTCGTTAGGTCATGGACATAGGAGTTAGATTGTGGTTGAGTTATGTTTCATCAAATAAGCAGTGGAATGTGGTTCAAAAACTAGCTTTATGTTGCTGATTTCTATGCGTAAAAGAGAGTATCGAATACAAATTGTCTAGGGTCGCAAATAGGAGAGTTCAGGACACTGGAAACTCTTCTTTTGTTGAAGGGAATAGAGGAAATATTGTGGTGTTACGCTGGGAATCGAACCCCCGTTCTGTTGGTCGTGATGTTTACAGATTAGCTTTCTCGGCTACAATATATACCCAGCTGCAAGGGTCTTTAGGTGGGCCTAGTTGGTGCAATAAAATTCTAGTTTCTTAACAGTAGGGCGATTCTTTCGTTACGTGTGTTACTTTTACACGACATATTTCAACTTTAACACTTATTATAATAAACTTGTTAGATATTTTTTATGTTTTTCTTAATTTGTTGTTAAATCTATATGTGTTGTAAGTTTTCAAAACGAAGATTGAAGGCGCAAATTAATTTGATGTTGAAAAAAAAAAATTCTGAAATTTTGNTGTACCATACTTACAGTTCTTTAAGTGTTTGGTCACAAAGAATTGCCCATGTATTTTGTTGAAATTGCTGAAAACGTATACATTGATACGCTGAGTCTAAGAACATCCCAGAACCATCCGGTCCGGTAAAATCAAAACTGTACTCATCATCCGTTGTAGACAGAACAGGAGTGTTTGTGGGTGAAATTCCTCCTTTAAAAATAACGTTAAGAAAATTAATACAATTTAGAGGCTGTGAGCTATACAAAATATTTTAACTGCGCTACAAAATGTACTTGAATTTTAATTGTTAAAAATTAGAAATATTGCATAATAAATTCATCAATTAGCAGCATAAAAATACATATTACAATCATCTGAATTATATTGTGATAGCTATAGAAATTTACAAATTACCCAGAGTCCACTGATGACAAAATCAGCACTGTGTAAAATCATGTTATTAAAGTCCTTTCAAATATTTTTCCTTCGAAATTTTATATTGTTTTAAGTAAAGTGCAAAGTATAGAATATAAAATCCAAAATATTTTAATGATTTTCAAAAGCATGTTTTAGTAAAAATCATTTTATTAAAGCCCTTTCAAATATTTTTCGATTGAAATTTTATATTTTTTTAAGTATAGTGCAAAATATAGAATATAGAATCCAAAATATTTTAATAATTTCTAAAAGCATGTTTTAGTAAAAATCATGTTATTAAAGCTCTTTCAAATAATTTTCTTTTGAAATTTTATATTGTTTTAAGTATAGTGCAATATATAAGAATATAAAATCCAAATTGATCTTTTGGGTTATATTCTTTAGATATCCACATTGCTTGTATGAATTACCATGAACAGTGATAAAGAAAGTTTTGCCAATATTGAGTTACGAAAAATATTATCTTTTTTAAACTTCCAGTTTATATTATTTTCAGAAATTTTGATTATATGCAATTAAAAAGTTTTCTTTTAAAAATTGGAAAAAATATTGTAGTAAATACATTAGAATAGTGTAATTTTTTTATTATACGTTTCATATTCTTCATTGATTTCGGACATGCATGAGTTGTAAAAAATAATTTTACCTAACTAATTTTTAAATTAAAATGAAAAATATTGTCACAACTTGATATTAATAAACTTAATGCTTCATTAGCATTGAGCATGCATTGATATATGTCTTATTTTATTTTATAACTGGCGTTGAATAGCCATTTCAATTCTGAATTTATGACTAACAGTGTTCAACTATTGTAATTTTAAAGCCAACCCAGAAGACAAAGGAACTCTTAAATCCAGCAATGCGGTAAACTAGCTTTCAAGGAAGACTTTTTGATAGAACTTACCTGCATTTGTGTTGCATGGAGAGGAAACATATGAAAACCTCCAATGCCTAACTGTATGGCTAAGCATATGGATTCTATCCCACGATCTATCTACCACGGATGTCAGAAATGGTTGCTGCAAACCGGATAAGAAATTTCTATTAATCAGCCAATGCTAAAATTCGAATCTGGGTCACCTCAACTGGAGATGAGTGCTTTATAACCTAATTGACTGCAGAACAGAAGAAAGTACCCAATGTGGGGCTCTAATATATGATTCCGAGATTGAGAGTCTCATGCTCTACCGCACCAGGCACATATTAAAATGGTTCAGATAAATAAGTCCCACTACACTACTCCCAGTCACCCAGACACTTTCATGCAGCCCTCTACACAATATTGTCAGAAATACCTCGGCATGAATTATTATTAGCACTTCGCATATAAGTAGCCTTTTCTTTTTGTTTGACTTTTACAAAACATTTCAATGGCTCAATAAAGGATTATGAATTTCTCAGAAATATGTTGGCTGAGTCGTGATGGCTCAGGAGATGGAGTGTTCACCTTTCAATCAGGTCAACCGGGTTCGAATCCCGGCGATGTTGGTTCGAATTCTGCACGCAGCTTGCACCGTATTGAAGTAAAACACCCTCAGTGGAAGATGGATCATGGGTTAGTGTCCCCTTGCTGTCAGCCTAACAATGGGAGGTTTTCCTCTCCATGCAGCACAGTTCCATCAAAAAGTCCTCTAAGAAGGCAAATTTCTCCCTATGCTCGATACAGGAGTTACCTTGTCTTCTGGATTGGGTTCAAAATTACAAACAGGGTGTGTAGTCAAATCTTTCATAAAAAATAAGCACCTTTTAAGTACTCAAAAAAATTTTTTTCAAGCACTATACACATTAAGAAAATGCAAAATAATTTTCAAAGACTTTACATGATCACGATAAAATAACTAGTTTCTAACAAAGAACTCTTTTCTTGATTATATTAGCCACCCTAAAAAAATCGAGAGAATTTTCGGCTCGCAAAATGAGGGTGGAAATAGAGTAATTGAGCATATCTAGCAAAATGCAGCAGAGTTACACATGAGAGTGCTAGAATCTTACCGAACTCAGCTCAGTAGACACACATGCGGACTCGCAAGTATTTCATCAAACCTGTAAAATGATTGCCGCTTTCATACACTATAGACCGACGGTATGCAGAAATGGATTGTGGTTGTATGAATTGTAAAAATGTTGAACAGAACAATTTGAAAAGCACGCTTTTGCATATTACGTGTTGAAAATCGGCAGGGTAGAGAAAAAAATCTCATTTTCAAAAAGGGAAAATAAAGTACTTTTTAAAAACACCCCATGAAAAAAGCACCTTTAAGTGAACGAATATCGAAAAGCACCTTTAAGCACTTTTTAAAAACGCTACGCACCATGTACAAGGCTACAGAGTTGGGTGGACTGTTCCACGACGGTTATAAAAAAAACATATGTTAGCAAATACATACACAAGAAGGAAAGGAGACTTACGAGTTTCTTGTTTCACGCTCATCATTCCATTGAGAAGGTTGTTGTTTAAATTTTTATGATTTTCAGACAGTTTTCTCTTTTTATGGTTACTGCTGCTTGTGTTGCTGTCTAAACTATCACAGAGGAAATCTTCACTGCAAAATATCACACAGAATGAAATATATCTGCAGTTTGTATCAAAATAGATGCACACTGAAAATAATTATAGAAAAAAACAAAAAATATTTCTAATCTTCTATTAAGTAAGGTTTTAAGTACCAAAACCAGTCTATTTCATTATTTGTTAATTGTATCGTAAAAAGGGGAATTTTTACACCTGTAAAAATATATATATATATATTAAGGTAGTAGTTGAGCTGTGATAAAACCCTAAATTTTTTTCTCTCCTTACACAATTTTTATTTTTTATTTATTTACTTACTTGAGAAATCTTAATATCTTAATATGATGTTGGTCGCCTTTTTGCATTCATGACAGCACACATCTGGGAAGACTTTTCACCAGTTTTTTGATAGGAATTGACTTCCATCACAGCTGAAGTAAGTGCTTGCAGTGAGAATATGGCTGGATACGCATGGAGGTTTCTAAATTTTTCACCTCATTATAGATATATAACAAGTAACATTGACTAGAATCTAAAATAGCTATAAAGTCCCCCACCCGCACCAATGGTCAGACGAAATATCCTTCTGTCCATTTTATTGATTTTCTGACAATTCTACGTCCATCATGCGAATGCAGTTTTCTGTTTGTTAACTTTGTCATCTAGCTGCAAAAAATTCATATCCTTGCTGGCATTAGGGCGGAATTCAGATAAATTCACGCATTTACGATAGCTCAATGAAGCTAATTAGAAGACCATATTTTTGTAAATGTACCACATTTTGCGATATGTAAAAATATAGGCTTTTGATTGACCAAATGTGTCCATTGTAATTGCGAAAATTTAGCTGAATTCCGCCCTAGAAAGTCATGAATTTACGAAATATAGATTTTTTGTGTTCATACGATAGATTAATGAAGAAGCTAACATAAAACTGATGGATTCTACACTGCACTGATATTTTGTTTAAAAAAAAGTTCATTAAAGAAGGAAACCTAAAATAAACTTTCTATTCAATTTGGGGGTCCTCCTGAGATGTGGGGCACGGGGCAACTGCCCTACATGCCCCTGCCTTAGTCAGGCTCTGGATGCGTGAATGGAGCAGTTATCCTGCTGGATGAGAAATGGGTTTTCTCTGAAATATTGCCCAAGAGTTGGGAGTGCAGCATTGTCTACATACATGTCAGAGTTCATGTTTTCAATCACAGGCACTAATGGACACAGGCCNGAATTTTCATTTAAACTCAATTACATATATTAGTAATACACATATTAAAGCAAAAGTACAAAGTCAAGTTATAATTCTGAATGACATTTGAATCAATTTATTGACTAATTTTAGAAATTACTCAAACTCGGCATCACAACCCCACTGATAATCTCATTTTACGAATTAAAGACTAGATACACGTCATATTATTGCCACACTAGTTATTCGTAGCACCAAATTATATTAGTAGGAGAAACATTTCTAAATGATTCTCGAATTAATTGATTCACTAGATCAAGACATCAAAGAAAATGTTTGTACTATTTGCTTAAAGTTTCTTTTGAGAAGAACTTTACGAATCACGTATGTGTAAATAATTAACTTGTAGAGGCAAATATTTTGCTAGCTTTAAAATTGATTCCCTGTTTATTAACTACAGTCACTGAGGACGTTTGCGAGAAACCATAATGTTATAAAGTTAAATGAAATACAAATTTAATTTTCTATGCATTAAAACAAAGAGTTCGGAAAATATTTCAGAGAGAATTCAAAGTTCAGAGAAATTTGTGATCAATACAATTTATAGTTTGGAGTAAGTATTCTAGATAAATAGTTTGACAGGGATGCTACAAAGCTATATCATAATTCCCAGGCCTGACTTTCCATTAGTCTGACCTAGGCAACCTAGTCAGACCATCCATTAGTCCGACCTAGACGCAAGAGTGATGTAGAAAATTCGTGTTTATGTTAGATTCAAAAATATTTATTAAAAACTTTTTAATGTTTTTCAAACTTCTAAAACATACAATTGTAATTTTTTGCCCTTCTGTAAAAGTGTGAACGTGAACATTAATTATATTCTTATTGCATATTTAGTATTCCATGTTTTGGCAACAGCAGTTCTTGTGTACGATATAGATTTTGAGTTTTCATAATAACGGTGCGCGTAAATTTTAATAAAAGTAAGCAGTAAATGAACTGCGTTTGTTTTGTTTTTCCCTTAAAAGTTGTTTCTTACACTTCTTTATTTCATCATATTTTTCAAAATAGCTTATTTATATAACGGTCTAATATACTTGGCATTCTTTCCACACTAACAAAGAAAAAGAGGTTGTTCTAATATGTTTAGTTTAAAATAATTTTGGTAAATGTGTCCAATGACGCATTATGAATATTATGTTAATGCAATTGGGCGAGTTCATCAAGAAGAAAATTTTGGGATATATTATTCTTGACTATGTTTTGTGAAGTTAATATTTTTAGTTCGTAAAGCATATATATATGATTTTTTTAATTGAACAAGTAAAAAATTGTTTTTGAAATACTATTAAGTTAATAATTAAATGAACACACATAATTATCTCTTAATTCATAAACATACATAAAACAGTGACAGAATTTTTGCTTCTATATTTGACAAAAATGCATTTATTACCTTAATTTTTCTTTTTATATCTAAAATAAAATATCTAAAGTAAATTGACGCCTTTGGACACATTAGATTACATAAAGTGAACGACGCTGTAGATTTTCTTCCTTTATCGCTCTACAAGTAATGTAATTGAACACTCGTTCATTTATTTTCCCTCCTTTTTGCATCATTGCATTATAGTCCAATCTTGTTCAGCTGTATGCGTCAATTTGTAACCTTGTAATTGTAAAAGCACATAAAACTTCATGCTGTTAGTTCGCCTGGATGGAAACTAAACCTAGTTTGGTTTATTTCATTACGATGGAAAAAATACTCTTTCGATGTAAAGATATATTAAGAAGGAATATCATTGTGAAGGTAAAAAAAAGTTTTTTACAAACATTTTTCACGCTTTTTTAAAAGTACTACATTAGTTAGATTTGGTGAGACATTTTAAATTGAGAAATTTGATAAATTGGCAAAAGTATAAATTTTTATAAAAGAATATTTTTAAATTGCCTGAAACTAATGTTTATTTGATGCTCATTTTCAAATTTCTCTTGCACTCTAGAGAAATAATTGACGGGCCTACGTGGCAAATTTTTATGAAATGATAAAATTTCTTTTGGTGAAAATTATGCAACTTTTATTTAGAATGAACAGGTTATATAGAAAAATTTAAAGACATGGTGATAAAAAAAGAACAGAAGTCTGACTCCGTAAAAATACGTGTATCTAAAATTGGTGTAATGCTACTTTGCATCAATATTTAATTTTTTAATACAAAATATCACTCAGTAATTAAACAATTCTAGTAATTAAACAATTAAAAATAAACTTATGTAGAAATAAACGACAATTTTTATTAATGTATAATTATAGAAATATGAGCAGATTAAAGAATAAACAGCAATGGTATGCAGGTATTTTTGAATATCTATGTATCTAGCATACATATATTCCCGTTCAACCTATACTACTATATGGAAGACAAGCATGGTGTGTGAAAAAATGGGCTTACACTTTCAGCTGCATGTAAAAGTCTCTGGCCATTATATTACTGTTAAAATCTGATTACAATGACAAAGGAAATGAAAATTGATTATCTTTTAATACAATGCAGTTTTTGTATGCATTTCTTAAAAGATCTATGTGTATTTTTAAAGATATTAGCATATATAATCAAAAGAGGAAGGAAGTTATTAATATAAACTGGCCGGACTTTCCGAACTTCACTGTAATTTTTCATATAAATCAAAACTGACCTTGGTCCTTAAAAGTTTAAAAGTTTTGCTTTACAGGCATGAAGAAGTAACTTTTGAAATGAATGCATTTCATAATTTTACAAAATCTTTAGTTCTGTCAACTTTTTATCCAGTTCTATTGAGGTGTCTTTTAAAATTAAAAAGTCATGTGTGTATGAAATATATCTTTAAATTGCACTGGAAAACATCATTGATGCAAAACTCAACAGTTTACTTACAGGCAATAAGATGTTTTATGTATTCTAGTTTTATCGAACACCACTATTTCTATGTTGGCAATTACATGTTATTTTATGAGTTCTAATTTTATCAAATGGCCATCAAGTTCTATAGAAGCATTTTTGATTAAAATAAAGAGCTTAGGACAGTAAAATTATGAATTATGTGCTTAAATTGAGTATCGAAACAGTTTTGATAAAAATACCATGATATACATTAAGGAAATAAGATGTTATTTAAAAACTCTAGTTCTATCGAATATTTATCTAATTCTAACGAAGCTTTTTTTTAAATTTAAGAGCTTAGGGTAGAAAATTATGAATTATGTTTTCAAATAGTGTAACAAAACATTTTTTTTTCAAATTTACATAATTTCTAAATAGGAACTCAGAGTTTGTTTTAAGAATTCTGATTCAATCCAAGTGTTTGTTTTTAAGTTTGATGAGGTTGGAACAGTAACATTTCAATCAAATCATTTTTAAATAGCGCAAAAAAAGCGTTTCTAGAGGAAAAACTAAACGTTCCATAAAGGAATTAGGATGTTTTTGCTTCTATTTCTTCTTTTAAAAATCTACTTTCAGTGGAAAAATACAATTAATTTGCCTGTGTGAAATAAAAGGAAAATATTCCATTATTACGTATATTGAATAATTGTCATTAATAAATTATTTAATAATATATAAGATTTTTTTAGAACTAAAATGTCAACTTTCTATGTCCAACCATCGAAAATAATTACTGATCACACTTAGGTTAATTAAAGTATTATTGGTTCTTTCTGAAAGCATGTGTATCATTAATTATAACTTTGGTAGAATTAAAAACTTATTTTTATGTTGTAAAGAAATGTTCAACGAAATTTCAAATTGAAAAATATTAAGAGAAAATTCCGAATACATGACATGCAAACAAGATATTATGAAATTTTTATTTTCTGAAAACCGTCAAGTCTATTTTCGAATAAATGTAATTTCTTCGTTGTTTTGTGCACATTAAAAATGCGTAAAACCTTTTTTTTCCTTTGTTGTCTCATCTGCCTGTTATACGCCATGTTTATAAGCTGAAAGTTTGAAAGATTTTAACAAAATATTTTTTAATTACAAAAAGAAATAGTTTGCTAACTTCATTATAAGTAACACGCTTGAAAATTGGCGTAAAAGGGAAAGTATTTTCTTACACGTTGTAGATATAAGAAAATATATTGCGAACTTCATAAATTTGATGTAAATAATAAGAATTGTGTGATTTGGAAATTAAAAATTGAAGAAAGTTAATATAACTATCAAGCTTTTCACTTTAAATTATCTCCTAAAAACTATCATTGTGAGCTTTTTAACTTAATTTATTCGTTGTTAAACAGACAAGACTTGCTATCGCTTATTAAATTCTATATAAAAATTAAAAAGCTCTCAAAATTTCATTTTTTAGAAATTAAATTAGAAATAAAATATTTCAGATTTATTGTTACTTTTCAAAAAAATATCTTATTTGCAAGGAAAATATGTCAAAATATATTGCTAGCTCTTATCGTTTAATGGAATGTAAGGAAAGTTACGGATATAACGAAAACTTCTTCAATTCAAGTTCTGAAATTGTTCATCACGTGACATATTGATATTTCTGTATTTAAGGGACAGTATTGCATTTCAGTTGTTTA